CGAGAGATAGAGAACCGGTTTTCCCAACTCATAGACACCGAAACACTTGCCGTTACGGACGTAGAGATCCCGTTGCCATTCAAACCACTGTTTCGTGAGTCGTGTCCATAGACTGACACTCGCTGTCCGTACGCCTTGTTTGCGCCAATAGTCACACTTCCCATCAATATATCTGTCAATAATTTTTTTGTAAAATTTATAAATTAATTAATGTAAATTTGTTAGATTACCTGAGAACCAAATATAATGAAATACAAAATATACTAGTAGAAATCAGTGTCCATTTTATTATTGATATTTCAAGTATCGCTTGTAGTGTTGACAGCATTTTAATTTTTAAAAATTAATTTTCGTTTAATTTAAAACAATATCACTTAAAGTGTAAAAATTAATTCACATTAAAGTAACAATTATATACTTTCTAGTCAATAATTTGAGTATTTAATAGCTTTACTATTTATACTATTTTTTATGAAGGTCATTTATTGAATATAAATTCTGCAATTTTTAAGATCTTATTAAATATAATAGGTGGCATATATTCAATTTAGATTTAATTCGATTAATTTAGTTAATTTAATTTAATTTAATTTAGATTAATTTAATTTAGATTTAATTTAATTCAAATTAGATTCAATTCAATTCAATTCAATTTAGCATTCAATTTAGCAATATTTTATAATATTATATGATGTAAACAAACTTAATGCACTTATTTGTGAAAAATAAAGGTACTTGTAAAATTCAAGGTTTTACTATATAAAACTTATTGAACATAAACAAACTTGAGGCACTTGATAATAAGTAGTGATAGAGTCTAATTATTTATATAATATTATATATAATGTAAGTGTTGAGGTATAAATAAAATATTTGATTAATTTATATTTATTATATCGAGGAAACTTTATTTTCATAAGGATCATTAATTAGTAATCACTTGAATCCTATTATTTGGAAATATTTGTTGATATCTGGTGTAAACCCAAACCCAGAATTGACTCTCAATTATCCAAATAACAAAGTCTTTGCCATTTGTGCCAAACCATAGGCCAAACAGTCCTTCAGTATATGACATATAGTCTGTTAGAGACATAACCGGTTTCTCCCGATAGACAACTGTATCTTACAAAACAATCTGTTTGAATTAGATTTCAATTTTTAAAATTAAA